ACCGCCAGGCCGGGCTGCCGGCCCCGGATGGGCCAGTGTGGGTCTACAAGCAGACGGACCGCCAGGAGGAGCTCACCGGGGCCGAGCTCCGCCTCCAGGACGAGGAGGAGAAGGCCGTTGACGGGTGGGTGCACGCGGCGCTGGTGGCGTGGGCCGCGGGCGAGACCCTGCGGGCCCGCGAGCTCCTCACCCTGCGCATCCCCGACGCCCTCGCGGAGACCCACCGCGACGACTACACCAACCTCGGCACGGTCCGCGCCTGGGTCGACCTCAGCAGCGACCGCGGCGCCCTGCTCGAGCGCTGCGGGGGCCTTTTGCAGGCCGTCCTCACCCAGGAGGGGGAGCGGCGGGGCGGGGGGCTCGACCTCGCCGCCGCCCTCGGCCGCGTCGACTACCTCGAGCGCAAACACCAATTCACCCAGGCCCTTGAGCTGCTGAACCGCGTGATCGTCGGGCATACGGGGCTGTCCGCGCCGCTCGTGGTGAAGGCGCGGCTGCTCGTGCGGGTGGAGGATTGGGAGCAGGCCATCGGCGTCGTCCGCGCGATCCTCGCGGAGGAGCCCGGGCATTGCGAGGCCCTCGCGATGCAAACTTTGCACGCGCTCGTGAAGGACGCCCGGCCGGTCGCCGCGGGGCTCTATTTAAAGCGGCTGTGGGAGAGTTTGAAGGTGCGGGAGCCGCGGAATGCGGGGCTGATCTTCACCTACGCCCAGACCTTCGCGCGGCTGGCGAATGGCCAGCGCGGGGTCCTCGAGATCACCACCGCGATGGTCGAGTTCGCCTGCGAGCTGGATCGCCGTAATGGGGATTACCTCTGCGAGATCGGCTACGAGCACCTCTACCGCGGTGATCTGCCCGCCGCGCAGAAGATTTTCCAAAAGGCTTCGATCCTGACCGCGTCCTTGGCGCCGTTGATGGGGCTCGTGCACGTGTACCTCCGCACGAGCCCCGCCGAGGCCTCCCGGCAGCTCTCGCTCTGCGGCGAACTCCACCCCGCGTCCCAGCGAAGTGCGGAGCTCTGCCTCCTCAACGCCAAACTCCAGTGGACGCTCATGCAGAACGAGGCGAAGGCGCTGGCCTACCTCGACCAGGCCGCCGAGGCCGCGCGGGTGGAGATGCAGCATCGCCCGTCCGAAAACTCCAACAGCAACCGCGGCGGGAGTTTGCGCCCCTACGCAAAGCTAAATCTGCCCTTAATGCTCTGGATCGCGCGGTTTTACCTCGAGCACTGCCGGAATGAGCCGCCGGACCCGACTTTTCGCCATGCCGACCCGATCGCGGAGAAATGTCGTCGGCACCTCGAGTTCATCCTCCGCTTCGTCCCGGGGTGTTCGGAGGCGCATTTGATGTTCTGCCGGGTGCAGTTCATCTCCGGCAATATCGCGGCCGCCGTGGCGACGATTAAACAGCGCGTGCAGGAGCCCCAGCCCTCTGCCGAGGTGTTTTTGCTCTCCGCACAGATCTGCCATTACATCGGCAAGCTCGAGCTCGCGCGGCAAGCGCTTGAGCAGGCCTTGAGTGTGGATTTCGCGATTAAAGAGCAGCCGCGGTATAATCTTCTGCACGGGATGGTGCTCAGCTCGCTGGGAAAGCATACCGCCGCCCGGGAGGTCCTGCTGAACGCGCTGAAGCTGTCAAAATCCGTGGCCAACGCGAGCGCGGCGATGACGGACGGCGCGCCGGAAGGCGGAGGAAAAGGACGCGCCAACTCACCGGAACCATCGCCCGTGTTGGTGGACGGCGAGGGCCCGAAGTCCTCGCAAGGGCTTTACCTTAGTGTCCCTGATTCGGTCACCCTTTATATCCAACTCGCGCAGGTCCACCTCCGGCTGCGCGAGCCGGAGGAGGCCCGGCGGTTGTTAAATGAGGCCTCTGTGGCGTTTAACAGCACGAACCAAAGCGGGCGCATCACCATCGCGCAGTCGCTGCTGATCGCGCGGACGAACGTCGACAAAAGCCTCGAACTTCTCCGCCAGGTCCCCTCCTCGAATGCCTTTTTCATCGCCACCCGGGTGCAGATGGCAAAACTCTATCTCGGCCAAAAGCACGACACCGCGCGGTATATCCAATGTTTTGAGGAAATTGTCAAGGAGCGGCCCTCCCCGGCGGGCTACGTGGAGCTCGGGGAGGCCTATTTGAACCTGCAGGACCCGGAAAAGGCCATCACGGCGTACGAAAAGGCCAAGGCGATGGATCCGGAGAATAGCGAGCTCGCCGTGCGCATCGGCCGCGTCCTCGTCTCCACCCACGACTACGAGAAGGCGGTGCAGTATTACTCGAACGCGCTGGGGGCCGATCCGACGCTTTTCGCCGTCCGGTCGGACCTCGCGATGCTTTATTGGCGTCTCGGGCATGGGGAAAAGGCGGTGAAGGTGCTCCAGCAGGCCCCGGTCTTCACCGAGGAGCCCCAATCTCAGGAGGAGGTGATGTCCTCGGTCGAGCGCGTGAACGGCGCGCTGCTGCTCTACCGCGTCCATCGCGGGTTGGGGGATGATCGCGAAGCCGCCAAGGCCCTCCTTCGGGCGCGGACTTTCCAACAGCACGTGTTGGAGCGCCAGATGAGCCGCGAAACCCACGAGACCGTCCTCCAGCAGCGCACCGTCATGGCGAATATTCTGACCGAGCTCGGGAGTCTGTACGCCCGACGGGATGATGCGCGGCGGGGGGAGAAATTCCTAACCGAGGCCCTCGGCTTCGACCCCGCGCACGAGGACGCGATGTTGGCCCTCGCGCAGCTCAGCCTCGAGGCGAACAACGCCACGGCGTGCGAGAAGCACTGCAAGACGCTGTTAAACCTCCGCCCGGACTGCGCGGAGGCGGTGGGGATCCTCGCCGAGCTGAATTTACTCCGCGAGGAGGACGGCGTCGAGGCCGCCTCGCGGTTTTTCAAGCAACTCCTCACCCAGCAGCCCACCCACTACGAGGCGCTGGTGAAGTACCTCGACCTGCTGCGCCGCGTGGGGACGGTGGAGGAGATGGCGGCGGCGATCGACCACGCGGTCCGCGCGGCCCCGGCGATGCAGCGGGTGGACCCCGGCCTGAGCTACGCCCAGGGCGTCTTTTGCCACCTGCAGAACAACAACGCCGAGGCCCTCCGCGCCTTCAACCTCGCGCGGCTGCCGACGGACAACCCGTGGAGCAAGCGCGCGCTGGAGCGGAT